TTACATATGGTTGTGCTATTTGGCTTCTTAAATATTTCTAATAACTTGTGACTATAAGGCATCCAACATCTCTTCAAGGTTTTTACTCAGTTTTTTTATTTCCAGTTACTTAAAATACTTTTTTAACTTATGGATTAAGAGTTTGCAATCTTGCCCTTCTCACAAATCTGTGGAATTCATACATATATGTAAATCTAAAATATACATATAAATCTGCCTCAAAGCCAATGATACAAGTAATTGATTTTGCTCTTCTTATCTCTAAGAATTTTCCCATCAAGAATAAAAGTAGTACAAAATGTAATGGTAACTGAGTTTAGTATCTGCCTGAATGATTATACAATTACAAACATGCAATTGATGAAACATTTCTTGATGCTCACAAAAACTATACCAATTCATTAAGGCTTAAGTGTTAGACAAAAGTAATAAAGTAATAAAATAAGCATTAAACGTAAGCTTACTACTTTTGTACACAATTTCATTAGGGGCAGATCGGTTTTCTGAGGGCTAACCTAAGCATGAAATCTGATACTAAATAATAAACAAAACAGTACGTTCATTCTTATCTAATCTTAATAGAAAATGGTGACTGACGAAGAGAAGTAAACAGGTTTTCAGACCACATTAATAAACCATGAAACTGCTGTTCTTTGTCTGAAATATCAAAATGACCTACTCAAACTCTGATTTCAAAATTAGCAGTTTGGAAAGACTAACCTTAATTTAACAAATAAACTCTTTTAACATAAGAGTTAAAAGTGTAAAGCTCCATGGGAATAGAAGCTGTAATACAAAAGCAGAAACATATTTATAAATCTTTAGGCATCCGATAATCATCTTATTTATAAGGCACACTCCTACATGTCGACAACAATACACAAGCCAGACAATACATGAATCAATTTGTAAGATATAGTGTGAAAGGAACAGTGAAATTTGCCTTTCCATTGACACTTAAAATCATCTATTTGTGCATTCTAAGTACTATTTATAAAAAATTTTTCTTAACATTCTTTAAGTCTTTCTCGATGTTTTTTAAATAGGAGGAAAGTCCCAGAAATGCCATAAATTTAAAATTAAAATACTGCTAAAAATTTAAGAAGCACTTGCAAAAACTGAAATACACACGCACAAGAACAAAACCCCCCAAAATAGTAAGACAGTTAGTAGTCGTTTCTCACAAGTATTTTACAAAATAAATACTTTCTGCTTGGTGATTTTGAGACAAATCAATATACTATAAAGTACTCTTTGTAGCTCTGAAGTCTTCATTTTGTGCCTTAACAAAAGCTGACAATCATTCATAATGAAGTCTTTTTATAGTTACACAGCTTTCATGTCTCTTCTAAAGATACAGTAAACCTCTGGGTACTCAATAAAACTGACCAATTAATTGACTACCATAAAAACCTCAGAAGCTATTCTAAAATATTTACATCAAAGACCAGCGAAGTCAAAATAAATTACTAGTCTACCCAGTATGCTCTTACTTTATTTACTAAGTTCAAATTTTTCTTCAAATTTTGAAGAAATATAGGTTCTTTCAAAGGAAACTATAAAAGATATACCACACCAGGTAAATTCTCAATACTGCCATTCAAATTTACCCAAAATAAGAAATGATAGCCGAAACCGGTTTGGCTCAGTGGATAGAGCGTCGGCCTGCAGACTGAGAGGTCCCGGGTTCGATCCCGGTCAAGGGCATGTACCTGAGTTGCGGGCACATCCCTGGTGGGGGATGTGCAGGAGGCGGCTGATCGATGTTTCTCTCTCATCGATGTTTCTAACTCTCTGTCTCTCTCCCTTCCTCTCTGTGGAAAATCAATAAAATATATTTTTAAAAAATGATACATCTTCAGAAATTACTGTGAGGGAACATCAAAACAGAGTTTAGGGGAGAGCAGAGAGCTTTAGGGTCAAACAGAACTCAGTTTAAATTCTTGTTTCATCTCTCACTAACTTCATGATATTGGGAAAGTTAATATAACCTCTTTGAGAATTAATTTCCATTATCAAAGGGAAACACAAGGCAAACTACAGGCTGTTTTGAGCAATGAATTAGAAAACATGTAATAATAGACTGCTTAGCACAGTACCTAGGTCCTAGACCATAATAAATACTCAATAAGTGACTGTAATTACTGAGGAATGTTTAGTAACCCATATTCAGTGTAATTTAATATCCAAATTCCAACTGATACTATATAAATCATCAGAATGAAAGATATAAAAATTCAAGAACAGATTTTTATTTAATGCACTTAATCTGATTATTCTTTACATTAGTGTTTTTCAAACTGCAGGTGATGATCCATCAATGTGATTGAAATCACCTGCCGTGGTCAGCAAACTGCGGCTGGCGAGCCACATGCGGCTCATTGGCCCCTTGAGTGTGGCTCTTCCTAAGCCTTAGGAGTACCCTAATTAAGTTAATAACAATGTACCTACCTATATAGTTTAAGTTTAAACAATTTGGCTCTCCAAAGAAATTTCAATCGTTGTACTGTTGATATTTGGCTCTGTTGACTAATGAGTTTGCCGACCACTGACCTAGTGGGTCTCAACCAGCATTTCTAATAAAATAGAATAAAACATATGAGAATGCATAGCACAGAGGAAGTCAAACATTGATTAATGCATTTTAAAAAATTAAACACATTTGTAATGTATCTGTATACTGGATACCAAAGTAAAACGTATCTCTTACTGTGCAAAAAAAGAAAAGTTTAAAAACCAGTGCTTTACATTATAAGAAGAAGAAAAATAATTAGCTGATACCGAGTGCTTAGTTTCTACTAGACACTGTGCTAAGCACATACACTATACTATTTCATGTCATCCTCCCCAAAATCCTCTAAGGTAGGTCCTATAACTTCCCTGATTTTACTAATGAGGAAACTGAGACTTAGAGAGATGAAGTCACTTGCCCAGGATGCAGAGCTAGTAACTGGTAAATCCAGGCTTCCAATTTAGTCACCTGACTCCAGAACTTGTACATTTAACCACTTCATAAGTATTAGGTTGTAAAATGTGACTTTTCCTTATATAAAAGTTATTCAAAAGCTAGACTTCTTCATGATGCCTAACTCAAGAGTGATTTTCTGCAGGTGCAGTGTATCTTGGAGAAGGCAGTGTGATTTGGAGGTGAGAGCGCTAGGCGTGAGGTCCAGCTTCCGTCCCGGCATTGTTGCTTCAGTGGCGAGGAGTTGGCAAGTCATTTAATCTCGCTGTGTCTGGATTTCCTCACCTACAAAACGGGAATGATAATATCTGCCCTGCTCCCCACAGGCCATTGTGAGAAAGTATATGTACATATAACAAGTGTAATGTTCCTTTGTGCTACTTGGTTATATGAGATGATCATTAATACCACCCAAGGGGCCCCATTCATCAAGACACACATCAAATATGATAAAAAAAAAAGGAAGGTCAATCCTTTTATAAACTGTATGTGGAAACACTCCACCCAGTTCCTGGCACAAAGAAGGCCTTCAGTAAATGTTCATTAAACTAAAAGAAGTGAACCAATTTGATTTGTATGCGTGTGTTATCCATCTGTATTTTATTTTTCATTAACTTGTCCTTTCTACAACAATTTACCGAATATCTACTATATACCAGATTAGAAATGTGGGCTGGAAAAAGAAAAAAAAAAAAGACTTAAAAGACCATGCTTTGCCCTGGAGAATCTTATATTAATTTCAATTAACTTTTCCAAAATTGTGTAAGAGATAATTATAAACTACAGCTTCCTCATCTAGTAACAATAATTTAGGCTTATTATAGTGCTTTGTGATTTAGAAAGAACTACAAGCATACCTCAGAGATGCTGTAGGTTTGGTTCCAGACCACCCCCTCTTTTTGCAGATAGAGGCCTTGCTTTCAATTTGTAAAAAAAAAAGCAACACCTGGGAAGTGCAATAAAGCCACGCTCCATAAAATGAGGTGTACCTGAGTATAGTAGCTTTTGTTTCTCACACCAAGTGCCTAAATATGTTAAATCTGTATTATCTTCCTGACTCCAAATCCAGTGCCAAGTCCTGCTAAGTCTTTAGAGTGAAAGTTTCTCCATGTCAGAGGTGACTGTAAAAATAAGGTTTTGGAGACAATACATTGTAAATAATACTGGGGAGGGGTGGAAGTACAATGACTGTTTTCCCTTCACACTTCTGAGTTAAAGCAATCTATCATGCAACCTTATCACCTACAGCAGATGCATTTTTTCAAAATATTTCTTGTAAAAACCTGCCTTTGAATTTTTTTTTCTTACAGGCAATTTTCTGTTGAATATCTGGAACTAGGGTTCAGTTTTCTCATAGAATAAAGGAGGTAGCAGCGAAGGTGTCCTTCCTTTGTTGACTTGAAAAATTACTCAAAATTGTTTCTATTCAGATTCCTGAGCCACACACAATGCTAAATAATCGTTTAGCCTTTACATATATAATTTAACAACTACTATAGGTGATTTTAACAGGGAAACAATGATTTAATGACACCTTAATGAATTGAAAATTTGCTACAGGAAATTAACTAAGAATCTTTTACTAAAACTGCCTTATCCTTTGTATTCTAACTACTCCCTCTCTACCACCACCACCCCTCCCAACATTCGCCCCCTCCTCTCTCTCTCTCTCTCTTTCTCTCTCTCTCTCTCTCTCACATACACACACACACACACACACACACACACACTCCCTTACCTAAACCAGATCAGTTTCTGGGCTATTATTTATAAAACCATATTTAAATTTCACAACACATGGTCATAGTTACTAGGTTTTGTCCCCCCACTCCCCGCATCCACGGAATCAATGTGTCTTTACATATATTCTCTCCTAAAAGCCACAATCCAGATAATGATCTCGATGTGTCTACGCTGAGAATATCTGATATCAAATGTGAAGTCAGCCCTCCTGTTTACTGATAGCCACGAGTGAAAGCCGTACCCCACCCACCGCCCCCGTAGGGTTAGGGGGTGCAATCTCGCCACTACAGACCTCTCTGCAAGAAAGGGCGTGATCGCGCCAGGAAACCCACCGCCAGAGCCTCTGGGAGAAGAGAAGGAAAACACATTTTACACCCGGCAGCGTGAAGTCTCCCGGCTCCAGCCTTTGGTAAACAGGGAAAACCTTTGTCTCGCCTCAGCCATCCAAGCGGGGGGCCCATCAGAACTGGGGCAACAAGAGTTTGTGCGAATGACTTGGCAGCGGTTAGACAAAGCATCGCCGCTCTAGCGGGGAGAGAGCTGACCCTGGTCCTCGACCGGGTCCCGGACGGCGAGGTCCAGCTCTGACGCCGCC